ATAGCATCTCAAGCAAATACTTATATATTATTTCCCTTCTTTTCCCTCCAGTATACATAGAGTATACTGGATACAATTTGGCATGTTGCCTCTTTCACCAAATGTGTATTGAAGATCATTCCATATCAGTACGTGAAGAGCTTCCACATTCTTTTATTTTTTTCCTTCAACACTGCAGATGGTCAAAACTAGGCATGGGCAAACTTTTCCTGTAAAGGTCCAGATAGTAAATATTTTAGGCTCTGAGGTCCATATGGTCTCTGTCACATATTCTGCTATTGCTTCCTTAAAAAAAAAAAAAAAACAAAACCTTTGTAAATGTGAAAACCATTCTTGTTTCAAGGGTCATACAGAAACAGGCTGCAGGCTTGCTTTGGCCTGTGGACCACAGTGTGCCGATCCCTGAACCAACAGGTTCTTGCCTCACCTCTCTGTATCTAGTCTTTTTCTAATCTGACCTCTTCTTGACCATTCTAAAAGAGCTATCTCCCTATAAAATAAATCTGATGCTGCCACTGCTCCCTTTAAATCTTTCATGGCTCTCCACTCCCAAGAGGGTGGCGTCCAGACTGCTCTGCAGTGCATCCAATGACCTTCGTGACCATGGACTTCTCATGACCTCCATGTTTACTGCACTGGTCCAAGCCACCATCCACTCTTTCCCTGAACTCCTGCAGTGACTTCTGGCCCCACTACTGCAATAAACTCTTCTTCCCCAAAATCCAGTCTCTACACCGCAGCCTCAGGGATCTTTTACAAGTGCAAATCACACCTGGGTACCTCCAATGGCTTGTTGCTGCCCTAGAAAGAAGTCAGCTTCCCTCCCGTCACACTCTATAAGGCCTGCCAGCTCTTCTCAACCCTGCCCTTCAACCTCATGCTACCATCCCCTCTCCCATCGTTCCCCACTGTCCAGCCACATTGATTTTTCTGTTCCTCAAGCAAGCCAAGTTCATTTCTGCCTTTGTGGGTGCTGTTTCCTTGGGGGGCGCTTCTCAATGTTCAGTGTCAGTTCAAACCCCCCCCCCCCCCAGTGAGGCCTTCCCTCATCTCTCAACCCACAGGGGCCTCTCCTGCTTTCCACTGCCTACCCTGATCTATTTCCTTCCTGGCCCTTGTGGCCGTGTCTAATCACATTGGTTCGTATTGACAGTCTCTGCTCTGCTAGAACATGTGGGCATCTCTGGTGCCCAGTACATTGTCTGACACATAATAGATGAACAATACAAATTTTCTGATTACATGAACACTTGAAGAATTTCAAGCCAATTTACCATTTCAGGTGAATCTCTCCTTACTCCTCGCCTTATATTTTAGTCTCCAGTTCTAGCATCTTTCTCGCCAGTCACTGAACATGAATTTCCCTCTGAAGGTTTTATACTTTTGCACATGTTGTCATTTAGGTTATTTCTTCCTTCTCTGAGGGACAAACTCCTACTCACCCTTCAATACCCAGCTCAATGTTACCTTTTCTATGCAGTTTTTCTACCTCTCCTAGCTAGGGTCAATTTCTTCCTCTCTCGGGCCCTCAGAGCACTGTGGACAGACCTCCATGATCACACTGGGCCATAATTACTTACCTACCACAAATATTCATTGAGGACCATAGTTATTTACCTACATCAAATGTTTGTTAATTGATTTATTTATATCCTGAATATCTCCAATAATTATATGCATAAAACCTTTTCATTTTATCTCAAGCTACTTCAGGGAAAGGACACCTTGAATGGTGTTTAAGTGGCAAGTATCGACACATAATGTATACATCTAGCATCTTGCTCTGTGCTAAGTGCTTTATGTACATATACTCATTTAACCCTCATGAGAACCCCAGTGAGGCAGGTACTATAATTTTCTGTACTTTACAGATGAGGAAACTAAAGCTTAGCGAGGTTAGGTAACTTGCCCTGGTTGATCTGGAATTCACCATCAGGCTGTCTTTCAGCCAGCCGTGGTGGGGTGGCTCTTTGAAACCTGTTTGCTCTGAGCTCTGAGAGTGTTAGGGTGGTGCACAAATCTGTCCTGTTTCCCTGCATTGAGACCTGGGGGCACAGCTCTGCTTGAAAGGTCAGTTGGGACTCTCTTGCTCGCCTGAAGCAAGGTCTTCCCTTGTGGGGCACAGATGTCCCTCTGCCAGCCAGGTGGAGTGGCACAGTGATGAGGCTGTCCTCTGCACACCTGTGACTGTGCCATCCCCAAGGGCAGCCAGATGTCCTCGGGGCCTGGCTCCCACTGCCACATGCTGCTTATCCATGTGGACACAAGCCACTCTGCCAGCTCATGCTTGAGTTAATACGAAGGGACCACAGGGCTCCGGGCAGGGGTGGGAGGAGCCCAGAACGCAGAGGAGACAGGGCAGAAAGAATTGCAGTCTCTTTATCCTCTCCTTTAAATGAAGACACTTGTCTTACATATTTCTATCAGGGAATAAAGGGCAACAAGTAACAATTAGCACGTTTTTTTTCTAAGAAGCCCAGACTCCCTCTATTGCAGAGTATTTCCTGGTATAAAGGAGAACAGAGTGCTGGCATATATTGGCTGTAGTCTGGTTTCTATTTGTGGGCACCGTATAACCTTTCAGCTCACTGGGAATATTTTATCAAGACAGTGGTTTTCAAACTTTAGAGTAGTGCTACTCAAAGCCTGGCCCTTGAACCAGCAGCATCAACACCACCGGGGAGCTTCAGACTCTGGGTCCTACACCAGACCTGAGAAATCAGAATCTGAATCCCCTCCCCAACCTGAGAATCTGTAAGCACATTAAAGTTGAGAAGCCCCTGCCTGATTAAAAAACAAGTTCAGGGCTCCATGCCCTAGAAATTCTGATTCACTTGATCAGAATGAAATCCAGAAATTCAACAAGCACCACCAGTGGTTCTGCTGGCTTTTTGAGCAGTGGTGGCTACAAGCAGTGTTGTGTGGTAGAAATAGGGTAGGCACTGTGTTTAGACAGTCCTGAAATCAAATCTCAGCTCTACTACCTACAAGCTAGGTAATCCCGATGAACTAATTCATCTCACTGAACTCCAGCTTCCTCAACTATGCAGTGGAGATATTAATGCCTACACCTTCAGGTGTGAGGCTTAAAGGTGACAACGTATGTAAAGTGCCTAGTACCAAATCCATGGAACATAGTAGGTGTCGGATAAATGTCAGGCCTTGTAACTACTGGTCAACAATAGGTGTTAATTTCAACCACTGGGACAGGGAAGACTAAAGGGGGCTCACTGAGGTGTGACGGCCATGGTTTCTCTGTTATTTAGTCCTGACCTTAAAGACACAGGGCAAGGATTAGACCGCAGCAGCTATCAGTCTTGATCATATGTTAAAAATCACCTGAGAAGCTAATTAAAAATGCTAATTTTTAGGTGCTGCTTCCCAGAGATCCTGTTTCATCAGGTCTGGGGTATGGCCCAGGGATCTGTGTTTTCACCCCCAGTAGACTCTCATGCATGAGTCCTCCAACCTCACCCTGGGCAACAGTGGCCTAGAGAATACGTGTACTCGTTCAGTAAGGTAGAGCTTGACATGTGGGGCCTTAGGATGGTATTGGGAATACACACAAGGATAAATAAGACCCTGCCTGGTGTCTGCTCAGCTGGGAGCTGGGGTCTCCAAGGAGAACGTAGGGTCTGTGCTGCCACGCGAGGACGTCAGTAAGAATAGCAGCCCACAGGGGTGATGGAACAAAGCCATACCTGCGCTCCTGCGGCTTCGATGCTGTGGGAGAGATTTCCGTTCTGTACAGGTTCCGAAGCATCGCTGGGTGTTGTCATTTCAACTTCTGTGCTCGTGCTGTTCGGGAGTTCGATTTTTTCTGTGACATAATTTAAACACACACACAAAGAAGCAAATGGAATCAACGGGGGTAAAGAACCATAATGAAAAGAACGTCCTAAAGTGTTGGACCTAAGGAGAGGACAGTGGTGTCTGAGGGGTGATAAGGCCCAGGGCTTGTGTTGAGCCAAATGGCAAAGGACTTTTACCTTTCTTCCCCATGCCTTTGAGTGTGCTGCCCTGTTCCCTCTTTAATAGCTCTCTGGCTTCCCTCTCAGGCACAACGTCTTAACGTGAGTGCCTTACCAGCTCCCATGGTACGTCTTTCTCTAGTCGAAGCAAATTTACCAACTAGCCATTCAAGAACAGGGACACAGACATTTTAAATCCACAACCACACTTTAACTACACACTAGTGTTTATACCCAGGACCGCACCCCTTAGATCTTTTCTTACAGCAGGATCTTTCCTTTTGTACTGCACTCTGGGAAGGATATTGCCCAGGGCATCAGGATCCTAGACTTTACTCTGCCATTACTGGGCTGTCACCTTAGTCAGGTCCCCTCCTTCCTCTGGGTTTCAGGAACCTTATCTGTGAAATGAGGGGATTCAACTGGTTGACCTGCAAGGCCTGTGGCTTTCACCTCTAATTCTCAGGCTCAGTGAGCAGAAACATTTTTAGTGCTTAGGTGGCCATGGGGAGGGCAGGCTTGGGAACCTGGCCCTTCTCAAAATGCCCGGAGAATGGTACCTAGCACAATCCACACTTGAGAATCTCATTGCAGGCCAGGCAAGGAAAAGCTGGGCAAAGAATAGAAGACACAGTCTGTGTCATTTCTGAATAGGAGAGAACATTTGGCTAGAGCGAAGCCATGGGTCAGCACGTGCAGATTCAAGTTCTCCTCTGAGAGTTAGTGTAATGGTTAAGCACTGGGGCTCTGTGACACTGGGAATCAGACAGGCCTGGGTTCTACAATTTACACTGTGTGACCCTCAGCAAGTGACTCAAACTCTCTGAGATTCAGTTTTCTCCTTTGTAAAATCAGGGTAATGATAACAATACTGCTGCTACTTGTCAGAGTTGCTGGGCTGCTCACAGAGTATCAGAATATGTTATTTTCCAGCAACTTAAGAAGAACTAAACATTTCTATCGGGGTGCTTAAGAAAATAATTTGAGTTACATAAAAATGTTGGGTTTGAAGTGGTCAAATTTTGGAAATCATCGGGAGATGTTTATGTTTATTTATGTGTGTAGATGTGGAATACAGAGGCATAAATAGATTTAAATATGGAAAGCCAGAAACACTCAAATTTACTTTATCTTCTCATGTTTTTAATTGTTTTTGTTAGTTCCCATGTTGTGTGTGGCTATGCCAGTTTATCTCAATATGCTTGATTTGGTTATTTAAACTAAAAAATAGTAAGTACCTTGGGGAATATTAAAACTCTGTTTGGGGGCACTATTGGCTGAAGCGATACAACATTAGGATCAGCCGGCAGTGGCCAAACTTGACCCCAGCAACATGGGATACTGGATACCAAAAGGGAGTTACGGTGTCCAAGAACACACGTGAACAGGTGAGAAGAAACTACATACCGGGCATAATTCCTAACCCAACTATGCACATCTTAGCTTATGAAGTGATTTTACATGGCAGGCTGAGGTCCCATCACTGAAGAAAATATAAAAATAAATCTTGGACTTACTCTGAAAAGCATGGATTTTAGACACACACAATTTTTTAGTTATAAAGTTATTTAGAGACCCAAACAATATTGGAAGAATCATTGGAGTTATGTTTCCTACCTCCTTACAGAAGATTAAATCCAAGTCTAAGGTCAGCCAATCATTAGGAAGAGCCTGGGACTGAACCCAGACATCTAAGTCTTTTATTTTAAACTATCTCATTCTAGAAAAGAGAAATCAACAAGTTTAGCAGAAAAAATAGCTTGTGTAATTGAACCTAAATGTCACAAGCAAAACTTAACCCATGCAATAGACTTTTATGGTGCGACTTTACACTTTTATAATGCTAAAGCAAAATATGGTCATTATAAAAAATTTGCCCCTGTTCATAGAACCATAAAGACACAGAGAAAAAATATATAATTCATAATCCCAACTTCACGACATAACTATTGTTAACATTTTAGCTGATTTCCTTTCAGTTTTTCTTTTCACACTCAATTGAATCTTGACTGTTTCTTGGCTAGAAAATTTTCCTGAGATAGAAGGCAGGACAACAGGAGAGGCAGAAACTCTTCTGTTATGTAATTGACGACATAACTATTGTTAACATTTTAGCTGATTTCCTTTCAGTTTTTCTTTTCACACTCAATAGAATCTTGACTGTTTCTTGGCTAGAAAATTTTCCTGAGATAGAAGGCAGGACAACAGGAGAGGCAGAAACTCTTCTGTTATGTAATTGAAGGGCGACACTGTTGAATTTTATCTGCAGATAATTTTAGTTACTTGGGCAATAGCTTCATTTATAGCATAAATCCAGATTAGGTTAAATTTAGTTTGAATTTAGAATTAGAGAGCTATATTATAGTTACAGACAGGAGAGGAGAAACATCATGTTCCAAGTTAAAAGAAGATGCCTGAATGTCACAATCTGGTCACACAGGAGTGCTGAAAAAATCAGCCAAGAGAGACCCGGGCTGATATTGCTGAATTCTTAAGAAAGGAGAGGCAGCATCATCTCGAAGAGTCTCTGCCACCCAGTTTGGAGTGGCCAAGTGATAATTTAGTGGGTGTGCCATAAGCAATGCCATGGGTATAAAATCTGGTTATCAGGCAAGAATTACAGAAGGGGGACCGTCACCTTTGGTTAAGTGTGTGTGTGTGTGTGTGTGTGTGCGCGCGCGTGTGCATCTGCTCTTTATGTGGAATCCATGAAATAAAGTGATTTTCTACTCTTGCATGGAGATGCCTGGTTCAGAGCTGGTTTTATTTCAGGCTCCTCATAGAATCATTTCACTGTCCTTGGACTTCCCCTAGAGTTACTGGTGACATCCTGTGTCTATTCATGCCCTGTACCCACTCGGGGAAGGAGGACGTATTTCCTGCCACCCAGGAGAGGGCTGAGCTGGAGGGTTCCGTGTCTGCACTGAGTCCTGCCGCTCTGCCCCCTCCCTGCCCCCCAGGCAAGGCAGGGATGCGAGTCTCCCTGACTCACCCACGTGATTGGCAGCCCCGTTCTGCCTGTCGTTCTCATCCACCTGGCATTTCTTCTTGGCGATCTTGTGGAGAATTGAAGCCTTTTCTCGGAACCTCCCTGAAGCAAGAGAAAGTGGCGGGAGAAAGACCGAGTAAGGAGGAAAGTAAAGAGACAGGCTGGTGGCACGTGGGAAAGCATGGCCAAGCAGGTACCTGGTCCCTCAGTTGAGCTTCACTAGAGCAGTGACCGCCCCCTTCTATCCAACCCAAATGGCCTACAACCTGTGGGAAGGGGACTTTCTTACCTTTGTGGATTCTTCAGCCCAGTTCTCTATTTGAGAGCCTCCAGCTGCTGGACCACAGCTGAAAGGGTTGACTCGAACCTCTTCCCTCCCCTCCCAGTTGCTCACAAAATCCATGGAAGCACCAAGCATCACCGAAATTCCCCCTACTGCTGCGATGCAAAAGAGGTGTAAAGACACCCTGGAGTCACGGCCATTTAACTGGAATTAAATGCTCATCCCACGTCAGCTTTTGACAATGGGCTGGGAAGGAAAGCCAAGCCCAGGGGTCCTTTGATTTGACTTGTTTTCAAACATTTATCATAATTAACGTTGCAGTTTCTAAACGAGTCAAGAACATGCATCACAGCTTCCTAGATCAGCCGAGTCAGCTGCAATTACAGCATCAAGGAGGCAACGGATTCCATTTGGGGATTTAGGGCAAAGAATGATCAACTGAGCACAGCAAGTAATGTCAGTGATGAGACGCTTTGGGAAAGGTGCCAGGAAAAAAATACCATTTTCAAAGTAATCATTTTAAACAGCTGTACCACAAATGTAATGCTTCATTTCTTCTTCATCATTGGCATAATTAATGGGTAAATGCATGCAACAAGCACAGAAAAAAAGCATGCAAAAGTGTAGAGGTTAGGAAAACACAGCACATTTCCTTCTTTTTTAATCTTTGATTTTCCTCCTTGGGAGCATTCTAGGTACAAAAGATTCTCATTTTAAACTGACTGATTGTTGCCTAGATTCAGTATTTTGAGTCAAAACACCACAACCCCTACAATTTTCCCACTAGGCATTTTTTGTTGGCTGTATTCTCTAGCAGCATATTAACAGGGGATCTGATTTTACTTCTCTAGTTAGAACTGAACCAAACCAAACCAAAGTGTTTCTTCTGGAGAATCTCTCCTCCTAGGATGGGGCATTTGATTGGCATCCACTAGCCCTCCCCTCCTCACGGATGGGAGTCATGGTGTGTGGTCATAGTGGTGACTTGTGTGACTGGTTGGGAGTGACAAAACCTGTAAACTAAAGGCAGATCAGTTGACTCCAACGGTGAAGGTGACACAGGATAGAGCCCTTTCTGCTCATAACTGCAATCATCATAAACCCAGACACTTTGCTACAACTGAGGCAACCTCTAGGACACCAGTACGTTAGTCAAGGCAATGAATGTGCACCACAGTATACACTCTCAAAGCAAGTAGGGAGGGAAACATCACACAGGGAAAAGGAGGTCAGTATGTGGCTTGGGCTTCATAGAAATGAGAAAGAAAGATGAGGTGATGGACACGATGTTCATCCTTGAGGGATGGTGAAGGTCACCATTAAGTTCACCATCCTGGACGGTAGTTTGAATTTGGCTGTTTCTATTTAATCTCCAAGGGAAATTCTGAGAAGAAAAGGGGAAGGGAAAGAAAGCGTGGGGACTAGGAAAAGGAGCAGGTAAAAGAGAGCAAGAAAGAATTTAAAAAAGACAACAAGAAGGAATATGAGGAAGGAGCAGGTAGGCAGGGGCTGTGGTGGCCTGGAGGTTGCACAGGTGGCACGGACACAAGGCACTTTCCTGGCTGTCAAATCCAGTCTTGTTTGAGGACGAGATAAACACATAATAAGAGCGATCTTCCACTCTCTGCAGCCTTAAGCCTAAGGAGGGATTGCTTCACGTGCAAGACTACTCCAGGAAGTCCTCCACCACGTGCTTTTCAGACCAGAAGAGAAAGAAGGAGGTTGTGAAACTTTAGTGAAGATGAGGCTTCTACTCATAAGACCGTTTTACTGTGGTCCCAGGGCCACTCTTTGAACTCAGACCATCCTGCAGATCTATGAAATAAAAATGAAGTAAACATTTCCTACTTAAAAAATTATATATAAAATAATAATAAAGCAGGAAAGCAAATAATCCTGCGGAAATAAAACCTGAAATAATAACCCAATCCAAATAATGTCCTAAAGTCATGAATCATGACAGAGAAAATATTCGATAGAAACCAGCTAATCAATATTGTTTGTGGCTGTGGGAATCTTTTCAGAGCTTAGATGTATGCCAGAGAGAAATGATAATAAAAGGGACCCAAAGCATGTAAGGATACAGTCACTTCCTCTGCCAGGAAGCGTCTTTCAGAACAGCATTGGCCACTGTTACTCATGTGCTGCTGTCCCCAAATTCTCCAAAGGAGGGTTGGGAGAACAGGGTAGGAAAAGATTCTAGAACTGGGATTTTCATAGGTTTTCAAACATTTTCAGCTCAGTGAGGTTATCTAGGCTGCATGTTACTACTTTTTCCACTGCGGCAGCCCGGCAGATTTTCTACGCTATTGGAAAATAGGAGGGAGTGGCCTTATTTGTCTTCTCTTGGGGCCCAGCGGTAAGGAGGGGCAGTGCAGGCTGGTTGGGAAGCTGTCTTCACAGACTCAACTTCGTCAATCCCACCTCTCCCTGCCGCCATTCTTGGCTCCACTGTCATGACCTTGCAACCATTCTGCATTCTAAGTGCTGACAACGGCTGCCCCATAGCCTGAAGGGACTTTCCCTTAAAGAGTAGCTTCTAGAAAGGCAGCAGGCGAAGGCCCCCCTTCAGGATTCAGCACACATGGTGCTCCTCGAGGGTTGCGGGGCACAGCCCGACAGAGCCAGGCATGCTCATTCCAGCCCATCGGACACCCCTGACCTGGCCACAGGGTGCCTTTTGAGAAATGCTGTGAAGATGAGGCTAACAGGACAAGTGTGAGCATGAGGTCCCCAGAGCAGAAGCCAGCACAGAACCTATGATTTTCAAAGTGACCCTCTGTGCCTTGAGGGAGGAAGATGTGGCACTTCAGGACCTGTTCAGCCCAAAGTCCCGAGCTGGGAAGAGCAAGCAGGTTTTGTGTGTTAGGGACAGCTCAGTATTGGGGTCAGATGGATGTGACTTAGAGGCAGGAAGATAAAAGCCTCAGGTACAGACCTTGGTGGTAAAGGGATTGCTTAGGTGTTTTAGGCACAGATTCCATGCTGTCACAAGGGGTGGCACAGAGTGACAGATCTAAGAAACAATTGTGTAACTCTGTGCCCAGTGATAAAAAATCAAGATTTTGAGTACTTTTCAAGGTGAGTGAAGGAGGGATTTTTAACATGTTTTATTTAAGGCAACTTTAAAATATATAGTCTTTGTGGTATAAGCTCTTAAAATGTTGTATTTTTATATAGCCACAGTTATATGTATAGTTAAAAATCTCAGAAATAGCAAACTCTGCTCAAATCGTGAGGCACCTACGTCAAACCCAGTACACAATTTTAATATAGTTTAGTTGGTCTGAAATCTGTAAAAGAGTGCCAGCTGAGTGTCCTCAGGGAGTATGTGTTGAGGGGGAGGGAGGGCAGTGTGGAAGGAAAAGATCCAAGCATAAGGGCCTAATGTGAATAAAAACGGATCCTGAAAAACAACCAGCAATCAAAACCCTTGACCGAATCATCCTGACATAGAACAGAAGCGCCACGCTGCATCGCAAAGCAAACTTTGGAGGGTCTGTTCACTCAAAGAAAACAAATTATGCTTCTGTTCACTGTTAATTAATTAAAACAGCCCCTTGGAAATTCCTTCCCGTCTTTCCCACCGAGCCTGTAACAGGCAGGGTTACAAATGGAGCCCTTTGGGATGACAATCAGATTAGCTCCTGGCAGCTACAGAACGTTGTGGGCACCTGCAACAAAGAGGGGGCAAAAGAGAGAGATAGATGCAAAGGGAATGGCACACACACCTCAGTGAACAGACTGTGGTTTGGGAGAAGAAAAGAAAAAATGCAACAGAAGGGGAAACTTGAAAATAGTCTTTTACAATCTATTTTTGTGTTTTCAGTTCTGCCTTTTTTGTCTTTCTTTGAAGTTTATAGCTTGGCAGGTAGCTTAAAAAACAAAAGTGCAGCTGAACTTTCTTCCTGTTTATTCTTTGCCTTTTTTTCTGGAAGCATAGACTCAGGTCAGGCAGCTAGGCCGTCATCACTCTGAGAAGGCTTGCGACAGAGCTGATGTGGCACCAGGGGGTTGTCCTGGGCTCCTCTCTGTATCTCACACCCCTCATGTCATTCATCAGAGGATTCGGTGTCTCTATTTTCAAAATATTTCAGAATCTGACCACTTCTCTCTCCCCAACCCCACACCCCCTCAGGCCAGCCAGCATCAAGTCTCAGAGAAACAATTTTGCTGGTCCGTGTCTGTCCCCTCTACCCTTACCTCTCTGTCCCCCAGGATAGTCTCATCCCAGTGTCCTTAGTGATCAGTAAATCAGATCACACCACTCACTTCTCTGTGCAAAATCCTGCAGTGACTCCCCGGGTCTAACTGAAAGCCAAAGTCCCCATAAGATTCTGTGCAATGAGACGCACCCCGATCGCCTTGACCTGTCCCCTACCCCTCTCCTTGCTCACTCCTCCCCGGGTCTAACTGAAAGCCAAAGTCCCCATAAGATTCTGTGCAATGAGACGCACCCCGACCGCCTTGACCTGTCCCCTACTCCCCTCCTTGCTCACTCTACTCCGCTCCAGCCACGCTGGCCTCCTTGCTGTTTCTTGAAAGCACTGTGCACTCCCCATCTCTGGGCCTTGGCATTGCCTGGTCCCTTCAATCTGGAATATTCTTCCCCCAGAGATCCACAAGGATCTCCCTCTCACCTCCTTCAAGTACTTGTTTGAATGTCACTTTCTCAGTGAGGCTTCTCTGAGCAACCTGTTTAGATGTGCGGTTCTCTCTCCAGCATTTCCCACCCCCAGCTTATTTTCTCTAAAGCAGTTATCATTGTCTAACATATGACATCATGATTACTATTGATTTTTGCTGCTGTCCAGTAGCA